TGATCAGTCACTTTATTTCTATGAGGCAGGAATGCAGTTAATACAGCTAGTGGGGAAGACACAATTTTCTCAGCCACCCAGGAAGAAAGATAAGGGGGCCAACTCATCAGAGCTGCCTGACCTTACAAAAGTCTCAGGGATATTCGGTGGACACCGAGCCCAGTTCTCTACACTTGCAGAATATTTTCCAAGCACAGATGTTTTTCTCTTAACTGTGAACGCTGGCTGACTTGTCTATATTCTTTTTCAGTGCTCCGAAAAGTACATTTTTAGAGTGGCTTGTCCCTCTATAACTTGGGTCTGATACTCATTACTATGTGGAAAAGACATCTTTGGTTTGACAGAAATAAATCAATATTATGCAGAAATGTTTCCACTTTGGGAATTTTTTCCCTGAGAGAAAAATGTCTTCCTGGCTCTGGGCCATACGGAAGTGTCCATGAGGATACCTGACTAAAAGACACAACAAATTTGTGTTCATGGTGATATGTGATTGTACGCACTTACAGATTTTCCTGTTGTATAGTTTTGGAAACAAAAAGTTGGCTTATTTTTCTGGCTAGTTAGTGCTTCAGTATTTTCATTAGGGGATTTCTGTAGTTTTTATCTGAATCACGGAAAATAAATTTATTTCAAAGCTAGAATAAAACTTTATCAATCACAAACCTATCAATCAATCACATAAAACTTGATCAATAATTGAGTACTAAAACCTGGTCTGAGTTTAGAAGCTTCATGCCTGGAATAAATGTATCAAGTAAAACACTGCAGTTTGGCTCATTTTGCAAGTGTCAAAAGGCAAAATTGGCAAAAAAAATTTTAAATATTATAGTTCCTATGAACAGAATAATTGTTTATTTTATTAGAACATTTTCCTAGTACTTGAATAGCATTTAATTTTTTACTACAAATATTTTTAACATTATGAATAAACACATTTGTTTTTCATTTATTATTTGTTAGAGTTGGTAGGTTACATTATAATTTAGCTACATATTCTCATCAAATATCTCATGGATAAATTAAAATTCTCAGTAAAAAAAAAAAATCCAAGCAATTTGATATGTACAAACTACAAAAAAGTACTCTTTTATAGCCTGGGTGGATAGCAGGAATCCATTTCAAAGTTTATGCTTTGTGAATTAAAAAAAAAATAATAAGTATTTACATAGTGGGTGAAAAAGAGTTTTTTGGACAAGTGTGAATGAGATACTGTAATATAAGACCAAAAACAAAAAAAAAAGAGCAATATTTCTGTACGACAAAGTTTCTAATACATGCTTTGATTTTTTTTTTAGCGTAAAAATCCACTTTGGTTTATTTAAAAATCTATATCATTATGTATATGACATTTTGCATTGAATTCTTTGTATAAAGCAAATGTAAATATATTGTAATACATGCTTTTCTTTTTGACTAATTTTGAGTTGCTATGAAAGGTCTAATAATCAGAAAAATACAAGGCTATTTTTTAGCTTATCGATCAAATGTTTTCAGCTTCCAAACCTGAAAAATAATGTGGAATCTTTGAATTGACCTGCCCTGCAGAACACAATGGGGAGCTGTCTGGAGAGAGCACAGAGGTCTTGGGCCTCTGCTAAAGGCTGCTGTGAAGGAGGGGGCATGCTGTACCTCAGGAGTCATGTTCAAAATCAACCTTAATTGTTAGCACCTTGAATTGAAGTTCCACAAGAGACAGAAATCTGAGCCACAAGACGCCTTCAAAATCAGAGCCATGTAGAAAACTTTGAAAAATGTCTTTGTATAAAATCAGACCCAGATCTTTAGAAAACAGGTTAAACCTGTAGGGATTTAAATTCTGCCTAAAATGTCACTATTTGAAAAGCCATTTTAGAAGTATAACGGACACCCTTCTCTGAGCCCAATGATGTTTGTGGAGTTGCCTTTAATCATACTATATTTGAATAAAAATAAGGTTTTATTGATATTCTGGCTGTCACTCTTAGTAGCTATGTGACCTGATGCAAACTCCTTAATTTCTCTGGCCTCAGTCTCCTCATCTGTGAATTGATGAAGGTTGTGGCAGGAAGTAAATGAGTGAATGTACCCGGCACATAACAACCACTTTGTGTTAGTTGTCAGTGTTTGTGTCATCATCTGCTTGCTGTACGACCTCCTAATATTTGCAGAAAAGACAACAGCATAAAATTAATAAAATTCAATTACAACACAATTCCTTCTTTTCCCAAAGCTAAAAAGACATCATCTAAAAACTTTCCTAAGACACACAAATTACTATTACATTCTGAATTACCTACTGCAAGCCCATTCAAATCCTTTCTAGTTCTCTACCCTGCCCACCCTCACAGCTACTCTAATTTCATGGAAGTCCAATTGTATGAGAAATTAACCTGCCAATCCTGACTTTGTAACTGGCTCTTCTAAGTCATCCTTTCCAGACACAAGACTGATAATGGGTCCCCTCAAAAAGAAATGGTAGCAGCTGGGCAGGTATGGTGGCACAGGACTGCAATCCCAGCAACTTGGGAGGTTGAGGCAGGAGGATTCCAAGTTTCAGGCCATCCTCAGTAACTAAGAGAAACCCTAAGCAACTCAGTGAGATCCTGGGGATATGGCTCAGTGGTTAAGCACACCTGGGTTCAATCCCTGGTACCAAAAAAAAAAAAAAAAAAAAGAAAGAAAGAAAGAAAAAAGACTAGAGATGTTGGCCCAATGATTAAACATCACTGAGTTCAATCAACCAGTATCAAAAAGTTCAAAAAAAAATTTTTTTTAAAATTAAAAAAAGAAATGGTAGCAAGTAGGATCCCTCCCTTCAGTAGTATATAGTTGGCCTTCCACATAGATTTAACCGTGGATTAAAAATATATTTTAAACGTGTGCTCTGAACACATATAGTTCATGTACTTTTCTCTCCCTTTTTTCCTTCGTTCCTTTCTCCTTCCTTCCTTTCTTTATGTCTACTAGGGAATGAACCCAGGGGCGCTTTACCACTGAGCTATATTCCCAGCCCTTGTTTTTTTTTTTTTTTTAAGAGCGAGAGAAAGAGAGAGAGAGAGAATTTTTTAATATTTATTTTTTAGTTTTCAGTGGACACAACATCTTTTTATTTTATTTTTATGTGGTGCTGAGGATCAAACCCAGGGCCCCGCACATGCCAGGTGAGCGCACTACCACTTGAGCTACATCCCCATCCCCCTTGTTGGTTTTTAAATTGAGACAGGGTCTACTAAGTGCCAAAGGCCTCCCTAAATTGCTGAGGCTGGCCTGGAACTTGTGATTCTCCTGCCTCTGAGTCACTGGGATTACAGGTATGCATGGCTGTGCCCAGCAGATGTACTTTTTCTTGTCATTATTCCCTAAACAATACAGTGTAACAATTGTTTACATAGCACTTACATTGTGTTCTGTAAGTGATCTAGAGATGATTTAAATAATGTAAGAGGTTATGGTTATCACCTGATAAATAATGGCTATTATTTTGATTCATCAAAATAATCAGCACCAAGCTGTTTCATAGTGTGGTAGGGAGGGGGAGCATGGGAGGAACAGACAAACTCTAGATAGGGCAAAGGGGTGGGAGGGGAAGAGAGGGGGCATGGGGTTAGAAAAGATGGTAGAATGTGATGGACGTCATTATTCAAAGTACATGTATGAAGACACAAATGGTGTGAATATTCTTTGTATACAACCAGAGATATGAAAAATTGTTCTTTATATATGTAATATGAATTGTAATACATTCCATTGTCATATATAACAAATCAGAATAAAACAATAAAATAAATAAATTTAAAAAAATTTTTTAAAAGAGGTTATAGTTAGGCTATACGCAAATATTACATCATTTTATACGAGAGACTTGAGCATCCAGAGATTTTGGTGTCTGCAGGGATCCTGGGACCAATCCCCTATAGACACGGAGGGATGACTGTACTCCTCACTACCTTTCCTCTGTGTGAGATCAAGGGTTGCTCCTGCTACTTCCATGCATATTTGATTGCTATCCTGCAGGGGCAACAATATGATCCAAATGTGCCCAGACATATCTAACTATCCTCCCTCCCCCCGCCCACCGCCCAAGGTCTTTTCTCTCTAGGTCTTGTCCCTAGCTAGAAATGAGCAAGAAGCTCATTCACCATCTCTCCAGGCACTCCATCATCCATAGTCCTACTATGAGGTCTGGTAGAGAACAGAAGGCAACAAATTGGTAGCTCACCCTCAGCTTTCCCAGGTAAGAAAGAGAGAGCTGATTGAATAAGGCTGTTGAACTCCATTGCTGAGCCATTTAGCAGGTTATAAAGCTCAAGGACCAATTCTGTAGTCATCATGCTATTGTTATAACATCTAGTGATCACCTACTGGGTCCAGGAAGTGAGAATATTACTTTCAGTTCAAACCTTAGTCTCAGGATTTAATATCAAGCAGGAAGATACTCTGCCTTTGCTACTAGTCTTACTTAGCCAAGCAAAAGATGGTCCCGGAGAAACTGTCCATTCCCCTCTAGGTGGTGATGGGTTAAAGCAGATCTCAACTTCTGGAATTTTCATTTGTGGGACCCTTCTTAGTGAACTGTTATTTTAATGTCATTATTCTGGGAGGAAGGCAAAGTCAAGGCCAAAGAGTACACTAAATCACAGAATGACAATGCAAATAAATATTTAGTGCTGGTGGTTGAGCCTGTTATTTCCCAGATGATACAGTCAGCTAGTAGGTTTCCATTTCTTTTTTTAAAATACTCTCATTTGCTATACTACTTTATCATTCACACACTTAAAATTATATAGAAATGGAGCTGGGGTTGTGGCTCAGTGGTAGAGCACTTGCCTAGCACATGTGAGACACTGGGTTCAATCCTCAGTACCACATAAAAATAAATAAAGGTATTGTGTCCATCTACAACTTAAAAAAGTATTTTTAAAAAATTACATAGAAACCAAGACAAACTGCTTAGAATGCAAATATTCTTTAGTTTACTCATTAAAATAGCCAATAACAAAATACCAAAATCTCATAGGTAAATAAAAAAGTGACATTGTTTATTTATCAAACCTTCTTAAACAACGAAACGCATTCATCTTTCTCCTCATGTTCTTTAGCAACATCCTTTCTTCCCTTTTGTCCCACATGCTCCTAAGTTATTTTGTTGGGTTCATCTGTAAAGTGAATATTTTTTTTTTACTTTATTAAAGTTATCCATTTTTTATTGCCTCAATATCAAAACTAATTGATAGATATATTTTCTCTTGGTCTCTAACACATGAAATGCACGTTAATAATGGAGATTTTTATCAGCACACTTTGAAAGACAACATCAAAGAGAAACTTGAAGCAAGCATTTCAAAGCAATAACATGCCATTACATTTTTGAGAATTTGAGTGTCATTGTTGGAACAAAAGAAGAAGTACTTTTTTTTCAGAAGCATATTCCATACATTGGACATAATTCATAATGTCTAATTAATTCACTACCACAGTACTGATTTCATATATGGAGTTTTTTTTTGTTTGTTTTTCTGAGGGTTTAACATGACTGCCTCAGAATTAATTCTAGAATGTCAATGACATAATCTATTACACAAGAATCAAGAGTAGGCCTGAAAATAGAACTGATTCAAAAGGAGCAATGACAGCAAGAAAAAGTTCTTGGCTTCATAAAAGAGCATATACATAGTAAGGAATAAAAGTGAAACAAAATATGTAATTTTGTACATATCAGAAACATCCAATGTGCCACCAATAACTGCCCTAAAAACATCTTAAAGTCCGGAGCCGTACTTGTTTCTCTTTTATATAACTCTACATGTGCATTACCAGCCATGCATTTTTCTCATGATCTCTCACCCATTAACAAGCTTTTAGCCAGAACTTTTGGCAAAGTTTTCTTCAAATAAAACCTCATGATAGCACTACCATTAAGGTCTGACAGTTGAATTGGGCAAAGTCTTTCTGAAATATGTATAACCTTTAAAAAAAATTCTTTTGTTCCTTCATGAATCAGCAGTGCTCCAACTTCAAATAAATCACAATCAGTCACAATCTTAACTCACATACTCATATGTTCTCTTCATCCAACATTTTGTTGATTCCATCACAAAGTTTTTGTAAGTGAGGTTTAAAATTTCCAAAGGGATTATATAAGGCAGCCAAAAATTCACAATTTGAAAAATGATCAAAGACATTATTAACCCGTCCGTGTGACTTGACAGTGAGGTGGCGCTGGATGATCTGGTGGAGCAGGTCTCTGCACTCGTTCAGCAGCCTGGATAACACGTTCCGGTCAAAGGTGTAATCCACCTGATGGAAACTGACCACCGTCATAGCAAGCTGGTGGACTTTCTTCTTGAACTTCTCCATCAGTGCCAGCTCATCTTGATTAAACTGATTATTCCTGTAAAGGATGGCCAACTTGATGACTGTCTTGATGAGGTTTTTGATGATTTTCTCAGCTTCCTTCTTGTTCTGGGTGTATTCCTTGGTCACTCTGTAGAGCTCGTCCAGCACCTCGCTGCTCGTGTCATCGATCAATGTGGTGGCGATGGATTTGGACACCATTTTACCCAAGATCTTCTTTTGTGCCTGAAAGGCCAGGTTTTTGGAGTTAAAGACATCTGTGGCCATTAAAGAAGAGAGAGAGAGAATAAAAGATCAGGAAATATCAACAAAAGAATCAAATCAAAAACCAAATATTAGGGAGTATTTTTCCCTCATTTTCCCACTTGTACTTTGCCTCCCATCTACTGATAAAATCTCTGTCAAGAAAATCAGTTTAATTTTTTTCTACATTTCTGGCCATTAGATTCTCTTTTATGGAATTAACAGCATGATGTGTAACTCAAATATTTTGTAACTTCTGCTATGTAGTCAATACTTTCTTTTATAAAGTTGGTGACTTTCTTGAAAATAACTTTCTGATTTCAAAACAGTACATCTCATGAGGTAGTAAGTTTTTATGTAGTTTTTACCTGATTTAAAATATAAAGTCAACTCTACTTCTGTCCTCTGGGCAACAGCAACCCAGAGCAATTTAAAGAAATTAATTTAAATGAAAGGAGGATAAATGGCAAAGCCTTGAGATTGGGTAAAATGGGAAATTCTTAGAAGCAGATGAAAGGGAGGGCCCTGTTTGATAATACATTTGCAAAAAAGCCTACTTTCATAAGACACTGGCTGGCCATCTCTAGCTTAGCCATCCTGAACACCTTGAATTTCAACTCCCAGAAGTCAGGCTTTGGAAGGAAATACTCCTCAGAGAGCCCAATGTCATTTGCCATTTCTGATAAATGACTCATTGTTTCTTTTACATTTTTATACATTTTGAAATAGCCATATTTCATGAGCTACCAGAATGTGCTACATGAAAAACACACTTTGAAAAAGCTGATGCTTAGAGTTTACTTGAAATGATCATAATTTTTAATTTGACAAATGTTTAAGATACACAAAATAATAGTTGTATGTATAATGCTTCTAGCTTAGACAAAGTCAGTGAAAATGCTCAAAAAATGTTTATTCCCCAAATCAAGATTTATTTTCCTTTACCACAATTTCCCTTGCTCTGTCCATGTTGCAATCTGAAAGCCACTTCTCTGTAACTATGCTTTATCCCTCGTCTCCTAAGGCTTCAGAACTTTTGTTCTAAGGGTGTATCCCCCATCTTTGGGTCCAGAGGTAGCTGTTCTCACTGCACATGCCAGTGTATGAGCTTAGGCCAGCTGCTGGAAAGCTTGGTGATAAAAGATAAAAAGCTTAAAAATACAGGCAGATAGGAATGAGTCAGGGCATCGATGAAATAAAATTATTTCTCGTTTGCACAGGCTAGCATTATTAGGAAGCAAGAAGGCAACGCCTTCCAACCCAAGCCAGGAGGATGCAGAAGAAGGGTGACTCCCTCAATCTGGAACTGTCATGTTAGGTGTGAAATTGGGACAAAGAAGAGTCACATTCTATTGGCAACGTGGCCTCATGTTAGGTATACAGTACTATACAGGAAGCTACAAAGTGGTTCCTAATGATCATTCATAAATACACAATCTTGTTTATTTACAAAAAGAATCTCATGATTGAACTAGAAGTGCCGCCCTCACAAATGCTGATATTTAAACTTCTGAAACATGAACTGAAACTGCAGAAGAAGAACTAAAATTTATTTTGAGAAAGAAAAGGAAAGTGAAAAAGAATGAGAAACAGTCAATTTCATGGCGGTTTCCAAGCTTTTAAATGTTGTCAGTTAAGCAGTAGTCTATTTCTATTCCTATTTCTTCAGTGATTTACAAAAGAATGTTAATTCACAGTAAAGAACTTAAATCAGAATGGCACCCACATAGTTAATATTACTATGTGAAGACCAAGGACCATCTCTTACCTTAAAACTCTTGATATGGACCTCAACAAATAAATAAATCTGACTTATGCAGGAATAGATACCCAAACATTTTCAGATACACAGCAAATAATTCTAGGATTTCAACAATGTATTCTGCCTAAAGTTGAAAAGTTATTCTGTTTTTAATCTTTTAGAACTTGGCACTATCCCATTTGGGGTTTTCTGCAATGTCTCTCAGATGGACACACTTTATGTGTTGTACTAGAGGGAGAGACATTCAAAAGATTCCTTTGTGCTACTCTTCATCCTAGGCTGGACTTGCAAGTTTGCATCTCTTCTCAGCTACTTTTCTTATTGAATCTCAATGTTCCATTTATTTTCAAATACAAAAAGAAACAAAAACTTTGGGGCAGTACTTCAACCTCCTGCACAAGGATGTAAAGGCAAATCTAGTGCCTGCTAAGCAAGATTATTCCCCGGTTTACTGGCAACCAAGTCAGAACCAGAACAGGGAAGCTGATCTCTGAGGCTTTCATATTCATTCCAGAGGAACTTCAAACCCTGTTTGGAAACACAGCAACTACATCACACTTTCATTTTATTCTTTGGATTGTTCCAGCATAGTCGCCTTTTAAAATGAAGATGGAGCATTTTCTCCCCATCTACCAGGAAGACATGCATGCAGTGAATTTATTTTCCAGCATTAGAAGAGCTTTTTCTGAGCCAACTAGGTTTTGTGGCTGTGAGCTTCTGGCCAGCAATGTGTGGTCTGTGATCATAAAACATGACTTTTTTCTTCCTTGTAAATTAACTGCCACTAGCCACTCCTGCTCAGGCTCATTTGTCAGTTGCACATGCTCTCCCAGATCCCTTCCAGACCTGGTGTATCTCACAGCTAGTCCTGGACCAAGTTTTTCTCCTTCAGTCTCTTCTCACCCCCATGTGATCTCATCCACTCCCATGGCTTCAGATACCACCCATGTGCCATGACTCCCACAGCTATAACTCAGCCTTGACCTCTTTTCCAGACTTGCTTTGCTAAAGTATTTAAGATTTTTCTTTTCCTTTGTGATTTTGTAGGCATCACAAAACAAATACTAGACTGAATCTTTGATTCTTTCCTGTCCCCTAAAGAAGTCCTCCTCCATTTTTCAAAATTCCAATTTGTTATCTATGACAGCAGAATGCACTTCAATTCATATTACACATATAAAACACAATTTTTCATTTCTCTGGTTGTATACAAAGTGGAGTTACACCATTCATGTCTTCATACATGTACTTAGGATAAGATGTCCATCTCATTCCACCATCTTTCTTACCACCATCCCCCCTCCCTTCCCTCCATCCCCTTTGTCCTATCTCAAGTTCCTCCATTCCTCCCATGCCCCACCCCTAACCCCATTACAGATCATCATCCTCATATCAGAAAGAACATTCAGCATTTGGTTTTTTGGGATTGGCTTATTTCACTTAGCATAATATTCTCCAACTCTATCTATTTACCTGCACTCCTCCATTCTTTACTATCTCAATGAATAGTTTCTCTTCCAGCCATTTGCTTAAGTCAAAACCTGGGAAACTGTCCACCATATCATCCTCACCTTTACTCAGCCCATTACCAGGTTATTTCCATTTTATCTTCTTCTCACTTCTCTAAATTCTATATATTTCCCTCCAACTTCATAGATACCATCTAGTAAAAGCCCCTTTTCAATCTCTTCACACAGCAACCAGATATTTTTAAAATGTAAATTAGAAAATGACACTCCATTTAAGTTCTTTTCAAACCACCACACCTCTTTATTGCTGAAATCATCATTTGCCTAAATTTTTGTTGTCTGACTCTCTCTACTGCTATCCGATTTGTCTAAGGACACAGAGGCTCTATTACTGTACTTAAATACTTCCCAATGAAAACATGTTGGCCTCCAACATGGGAGTTTTAAATACACGGGTGTTTCTGTTTTACAAGTTAGAGAGAGTTGTTTAGTTTACATTTAGAATATGCATTTAGAAATGCAATTTAGAGTATGTCTGCTTTTCCCATCATCAATCAGCTTTTTGAAGCAGAAAGCTTTGTTGTACACAAAGAGAAAACATCCCAAGACAACAACACAAATGTTTTGAGTAAGAGCACAGTGCAAGGCAGTAGAAGATCAAGCACAGTCTCCTCTAGCTTCTGGCTGGATTATGTTTAGACATTTGATGGAGGGACCAAAGGGTGTTTTGGGAAGAAACTAGGATGTACAGAGATGTTCCCCATGGGGCAAGTGGTGAAAGCACTGGTTCAATCTTTTACCTATTAAGATGAATCCACTTGCCTTTGGAAGTAGAGGCATAAATTGTTGACTAATGAAAACGAGGCCATATATAAAAAAAAATACAAAGAATAATACTGTGTTAAAGCTTTTTAAGATCATTTTATAGGGCTGGAGTTGTGGCTCAGTGGTAGAACGCTCGCCTAGTGAGTGTGAAGCCCTGGGTTTGATCCTCAGCACCACATAAAAATAAATAAATAAAATAAAGGTATTGTGTCAACTACAACTAAATAAATAAATAAGTAAACAAAATTTTAAAAAGATCGTTTTATAGACACCTGGTTACCTTACTGCCCTCTTTCTTTGACTTAATCAAATCGTCCATTTCAGCAATAACTCCCAAAAGAAAACTACTATTGGAAGTCCTGGTTTTAGTAGCAACGATTATAAAGTTAGAGATCAGTATTGATGATAAAAATGTACTGACCCATGGATACAAGAAAAAAAAATGTGCAAGGAAGGGAATAAAGGGCGGCGGGGGGGGGGGAAGCCTTGTAATAATATTAACAAATGAAAAACTAGAGTTTTCTGAAAGTCAACAAAATGTTTCATAACTATCCCCACTAAGAATCTGCCAATATTGTATGGTAAGTAACTTTCTTTACAACTTCACCAGCAAGTACATATTTTTTTCAACCAACAGATTTGTTATACTTGGAACTTTTAGGTAACCACAGATGCACATGTCTTTGCAAATCCTTGCCTACTTAAAATTTGATTCAGCATGGCCATTATTTGGAAGGATGGAAAAGAAAACAACTTGGAGAACGTGGCTGAATTAGAATTCTTTAAATAAATATGCAAAATCATAGTTCTCTTTATAACTGAATAACTCCAAACTTAAAAGGGACTTAGTAAATAAAGGCAGCGTTGGTGATAAGAAAGTGGTGAAACTGAAGATAAGCACCGTCACAAGAGCTCAGCAGGCTAAGAAGCAAACCTCCCTACACTAGGGTTAAAAGTAAGGAGCACT